GCATTCAGTTCAGGTCATTCAGCACATGACTTTCCTTTACTTCAACTCTGGAGCTTTGACACTCCTGAGCACCTCCCAGGAGGGTTTTTATTGGGTAAATATAATGATTGAATGCTTGTTGCACAGTGTATGACTGGAAGCTGCTGAAGTTCGTGCCACATAGCAAATCCTTACTTCCAAGTTCAGTGACCCCTGGAGTAAATTGGCATTAAGAGGTTCACTGGAGCGCTGAGGGACGTTAATAATAGCAGAACGAAACACAACATGACCCTATGGAGATTTCAGCCAGCGACCTCATATCAGCTGAGAGATATTGTCCATAAAGCCAGTATGCCAAGTACACTACACTTTTAATTATTCCACCTGTGTCCTGAGAATCCATCCATTTTTATTCCATCAATGCTTCCCTTGAGACTAAAAGCAAATTAAAACTAGTAAAAAAAACTTGTAAAATTCAGCATCGTTTTTGGTCTAACAGGAGAAAGTGAACAATATGTTCATATTGGCCAATATGAATACACCTGCAAGCATAATAAATATGAAAAATAGCAATGTGTGATATTTATTGTCTACGATAACATCATAACTGTTGTTTTAACAATATGCAAACTGACATTATCGAGTCACTCACTTTGCAAAAAACAAACAGAGAGAGTCCAAAAGCATTCACTGCATGAAGACTATTAGAATGCAGTTCGAATGCATATATAATTTGAGTTATAAAAGCAAGAAATATCCCTGTATGGGTTTTTGTTTTTTATATTTATAAGATAAGATATAGCTAAGTAATATCACATAAGCAAGAGTGCTGTTTTCCTGAATATTAGCATGTGAGCATGATCGCAAACGTGATATTGACTTTAAACACAGTTACAAAAAAACAAACAAAAAAAAAAGAAGTACATTTTTTAACTTCTGTTTTTTTGCCTACAAAAACAGTTCCAAACAAAGTTGGAACAGAACATTTGTGTATCTGAGAGAAACGCTGCATGTTTCATTCCTGAATTAATCTGTTTTTGAATTAATCATTTGAGTCAATGATTTATAAAGACTATTAATAAAGTCACTTGCTTTATTTTTTAAATGAATCAGTCATTTGAATGAATCATTTGAATGAATGATTCAATGAATCACTCATTAAGACAGGCATTCACCAACATCTACTGGTGGTTTTAGTGTCATATTTATTCATCCATGACGGGCCTAAACCAGTCAAGGTACCAGCATAAAAAAAAA